CCCAGGGAGGCTGTGGAGTCTCCTTCTCTGGAGATATTCCAGCCCCGCCTGGACAGGGTGCTGTGCAGCCTGCTCTGGGTGACCCTGCTTCGGCAGGGGGTTGGGATGGGTGACCCATAGAGGGCCCTGCCAACCCCGACCATTCTGTGATTCTGTGAAAAATTTGCTGCATGTAGCGCCTGGCTCACCGGCATCAACCAAGTCCCGCAGCAGGGAGGACGCAGGTCACCAGCTGGTGCCCCTTCAAGACTTCCAGAATAAAAAAAGCCTGCAAGTAACCCAGGGCAGTAACTGCGTCTCAAGACTGACTACGTCTGGCAAAACGGCTCGCACAAGTCCTGCTGTCACCTGCAAACGGTCCCAAGCGACTGGGTTTAGCCTCCTCTCCCCCCCCCTCCACTGTCAGCACGCCATGGCTTCCCGTCCTTCGCCCTGAGGGATGAGGAGAGGAAAGGTCACGGCAAGCCCGGAGTACAGAGACCAGGAAGGTACAAGCACCCCTGCGATACCTAACATGCCGCTGCGGGCACAGCAGTAACCCGCCTGCGCAGCGCGAGCGAAAGCGCGCGTGAGCAGCGCACACGAGGACGCCCTTAGGTTCTGGGAAACAGTGACTGGGAAGCAGCAGAAAGGACTGAAAGAGCCTGGCCCGGGTCCGCTACGGATCACTGCTGGGGCTGCGGGGCCGGCCAGCTTTCCATCAGAGCTCTGTAGAGATGGCTCTATCAGCGAGGGGAGGAATGCGAGGGTCTGAGTCACTGTGCAAACACGAGCGGCGATGGGGACCTTCGAGCCCAGCACTCCACTGCTGACAGAGAGAGAAACGCTCCTCTGCCAAAAGGAAGGAAAAGCGTGAACGTCGGAAGCATCTGAAGGCACCTGAAAGAGTTTTAAAAGTCACCAAGAAGAGCCAACAGTAAATGTGGCAAATAAGCTCAGCCCGTACCAGAGCACAATCTTCCCAAACTTTCTGGGTCATGGATCACTGCCAGCTGCTTCACCCGTCACGTGCTTATCAGCAAATTTCAATGGGTAAGCTCTAGAAACCATGTTTCTACACATTGCTTGGCGCAGCCTCCTAGGCCAGAAATGATCTCTGGATTACAGTCTGGCAACTGGTTTGCCAGGAGAAGCCTGGCTGGTCTCTACCTGCGGAGCGTTGCACTTGTCAGCCCTCGGCGCTGATGCTTCCTCAGCAGAGTGTGCAGCAAGGCAGCCTTAACCAGCAAGTACTTCCTTGGCCCTCTCCTTCACACCTCCTTAGCATCACGCTGGAGACACCCACACCGCAACGGGTGGTCACACCGACTCTCCCACGGGATCTATTCCCTTCCCACATCGGGCACGTAAGCCGAGACACCCGTACACCGACTCCCCTTTCAGATGAGCTTACTGGGTTCAGGAGCACCGTCAGGAAGAGTTCACCGCCACGAATGCTCTTGTCCAACTCCTTTGAGCCACCGGGATACTCGTTGTAGAAGATAGTGTGAGTAAAAAGACCACAGGTCTGTCGAGGCAGGACCTGGCAATATCAGAGAAAAGCAAAGTTGGAGAAGAGGCCAATGCAGCAGAATCTACACATGAACGTATGAAAGCAGCACTCTGCGGATCAATACACAGAGTAAGGACATAAGCGACACAGGTACAGAGGACTCTCTTGCTATTCCTCCCAATCATTTACACATCACAGTACAAACAAGCCAGTGGGATCTCAGTTTAGTCTTGTCGTGCTTGGTTTTGCTCTCTGTTCAGTACTGACCTCTGAACTGTAGCGGCTTTGGCCACTTTAGCTACAGGAACTGGCTTTAGCCAAGTCTTTTACTTGACTTTATCATTTTGGAAATACTGGTGGCATTAGGATTCATGTCTCTGGCGCAGGTCACCAGGAGACTGTCCCTCGGGCGGGGTCTGCTCGCCCAGCTATGCTCACCATGATTCCATTATGGATGAATCCGCGCCGGTACCGGGCAGGCCGCAGGTGTGGGTATTCCTCTGTGCTCGTTACTTGGATGCTCCAAACGGATTTCCATGCCTCATAGAGTTGCGTGTGGACAGGATAAACCCCAGAATGATGGGGGGCTACGGCATAGCCCAAGTCTGTGGGAATCCCGTGCTCCTGGAAGCAGAATACACAGCTTGATCATTCAATATTTAGCTAAAAACCTTCATAAGGATCACATTTAGCAACAGACTCCAAGCTGGAGCAAGGTGACAAAGTAACGTGAAAACTCTCTGGATTGGGAAACCTGAAACACGGCTTGTACTTGTTTTTGTATCTATAGAAATGTAGGGGTGATTCTGTATCATCAAGGACATTCAGCGTCGGTTACAGCTGCTGTAAGAACGCTCTTCGAGCTTGCAGGTGTGCCAGATCAGATCAATTCCCAAGCCTGGGGTCGGGCCCCTTGGCTACTACAAACTAATCAACGCTGTTCAAGTGACACATCTCACTCCCACAGTGCCTGGATCTGAGTCACTAGAGGAAGAAAATAAAATTTCCTTAACTGATATAGACGGAAAGGAAGATGACGACTGGGACATGTCTTGTCTTTAGCAATTCAAAGAAAAAGCAGAGACGAAGCAAGAGACTGTCGAGGTGAAGATATGGGGCCTGGGGCTATACTAAAATGACAAGAAATATCTGAATTTCATGGGTTTTAATTCCACTGTGTGGTTCTGGTAACAATATGAATGACGACAGCTCTGCTCTGGTGATGTACAATAAAACCAGAGCCCCTAAATGAAGCAAAAGCCTTCTCCTTCCCACTGCCAGTCTGTTTTATGTTAAATACGGGTAATTGTGTTCTGTGCTTTGTCTCTCGCTGCAAAAGGCTGCACTGTTATTTAACCAGGAAAAGAAGGAGCCTAAATTGTTTCTGTAATGCCGCAACTGTGCTCTGAATTCAAGATCATTCCTGATCTGTGTGTGTCACGGGAACACAAGCCAGCAGCCTGCTCTTCCCAAGGGGATTACCACCAAAAGAACCAAACCAGAGGTGAAGAGGACACGTCTCTTCAGAGAAACATGTATCCTGGATTCACCTCTGGGCTGTAAGCACCGAGCAGACATTGCTCCAGCAACGCAGGACGTTCGAGGCTTCCCCCTCCTCTGCTAAAACCCAGGGAATTGCCCCTGGACTTCCCAGAGGAGGAACGTCCTCCAGCACTGCCCAGGGAGGGCAGAAGCTGGGCTGTTAGCACGCAGAGCCTTTCACACCGCTGACCAGGTGGCTTCCTTACAAAACCACAGGGAATAAGGATGGAAAAGGAAATGCTTGCTTGCTGCCAGAGTCTGTAAGTTAATTGGATTTGGACGGTGGTGCTGCAAGTTCACACCCCAGCAAACAAGAGCCTGGGGATTTGCACCCTGGCATGCGGTGGAGCTGCCTGGGGCCACGCAGGTGCCAGGAAGCGCTTCCCCCCGCACAGGCAGGCACACGAACGGCGTTTCTTGCCTGAAGACAGCAAGAGCCACGTGCTCAGACTTTCAGAGCTGCCTTTCTTAACTGCAGCTGAGTTTCTAGGCTAGGATCTGGGTTCAGCGGGGTCGAAATGGCTGCTCCGGGAGAACGTTTCAGTATTGGTACTGTCAAGTAACTAAACCGTGACGCTCCTTACCACAGCAAACTGTTTGTTGAGCTTCATCTGCTCAGCCAGCACAGTGACGTTGTGGAAGAGGTGAGGCTGCATGTGACTCCACATGTGCGGGAACCACCAGAACTCCTTCCTGTGCTTGAGCAGCATGTCATCCCCTTCATCCTCCTCATCTGTACCTACAGCCAGCAGGGGCAAAAACAAAGGGCAGAAGAGGGGCTGGACGTTTCAAAGGAGCGGCTGATCCCCTGCGATGCCGAGTCGTTCCAACAGAGAGTCGCGCTCTCTCCAACATGCTGCACCCCCACCCGCACGAACGCTGGGGCCGTATGCAGGCGCTGGGGTGCCAGGGGCTTACCTGTGTGGTAGAATTTCCCTGAGAAGCCCAGGTTGAAGGTGAAATTCGGGACTAAAGTTCTCAGCTTATTCTGGGTGCTCAGTAAAGCCTGTTTGAATGAAAGGAAAAAGAAATATTCATATTCAGTTGCCCTGCGGCGTTTCTCTGTGCCCTACTGGTGCCCAGTTCAGCCTGAAGAGGTATCACAAGGGATGGGGCTACGGCACTGCTGCCTGTGGAGCGAAGCAGAGCAGCCAAGTGCTCCGCGTACAGAGTCTTTACTTGAAGCAGTCCTGGTGTACCTTAAAAGCCCAGTCAGATGACACTGTCCACTTCCACGTCAAGGGCCCAGAGTGTCTGTGCTAAGGCAAAGGGACAAGCAGTCCCACTTCCAGGCAACAGATCCCTTACTCTCTCCAGGTCCAACCTCAGGGCTCCCTTCCTCTCCTACGTTGGCTGGTACTTTGCTATTGAACCTCAGCCCTTTCCCTGAGCCTGCGTGTTAACGAAAAGGAGGATGGGGCAGGGCACGACGCGCAGTCAGAGGAAGAAACATCAGCAATATCGTGAATGGTAACCAAGTGATCCCAAGGGAGGGGGCTTTTATTTAGAGAGGAAAGGTGGATTCGCAGAACCACCCGTGCAAGGAGATCTGCCACAGCAGGGAGACATCCCTCGCCTTGTGTCCCTCGACAGTGCAAAATCCTTTTGTAGCAGGAAAGTTTCCTGGATTCTGGAAAGAAAATCTGGGGGAGCTGACACTCACAGTCATAACATCTCCTACAGGTTTTCTTTTGCTCAGTTGTGTCTGCTTTAAATGCCCAGAGTAATCGCTATGGCCAAAGGGCAGGAGCCTTGTGCCACAAACCCTGAGGACCAGCAGCGTACAGAGTAAGACAGCAGACAGACTTGACAGAAAAAAAGCCCCAGAGCCTCAGTACGTCACAGACAGGTAAGAGATGCAAACTAATTGCAGTCAAATTTCTTCTGCTGGAAAACAGTAAAAAGAGAGCAGCCCCGAGACGCGTGCTCTGCTGCTACCTGGGTGCCTCGGGGGAAGTGTCACTGAAAAAAAGCTCTCCATCAGATCGGGAGCTGGCAGGAGGGCTGCTGGCAGCTGCCAGGGATGGTCCTTCCCCAGGCAGTCCTTTAGGTTTTAACAGCTTTTCTAAGGAAGTCACAGATCAGCGGGCTGCGCCAAGGTGAAGGCGATGACCTTCCACCACGAGACCTGGGCTAGAAGTGCACACAGCGGCAACGCGACACGCAGCACCGAGGAACGCATACGGACTTTTCAAACCGCGCAGGGGAGACGGGCAGATCTTCCTGTGTCAGCTGCCTGTCCCCAGCCCCAAGCAGCACCAAGCGCATCGCAACGCCGCCTTCGCGCGGCTCACGCCCCACCACAGGCGTTGTTTCAGCACGCTGCTCTCCAGGCGGCTGGCAGAAGAGCGTTCAGAGCTGCGGACGCTCGTTCAGCGGAGAGACTGGCCTTGACACCTACCCCTTAAGGACAAGCTGACAAATCACTGCCGGCACTCACATCTTGACACAGCGCTGACCAAACACTGATCATCACAGAATGCTTTGGGTGGGAAGGGACCCTAAGTAATGACTCACATTAATTTAAAAACGATGACTTCTGTGATTTACTTCAGTCACCCATCCACTGCAAATACGTCATGGAACAAACGATTTGAGTGTTGTTATTCCCCAGGCAGGCAGCCCATGACCTCCCACACACGGCAAGGTGGGAAGCCCTGACAGATCATCTCTGCAGGACTGCAGACACTCTCCGTGCTCTCTCTGAAGGAACCAAGCTGTCAGACTCTTCCCTAGAGACGCACTTAATTGCCTATTCCTCCTCCCTGCAGCGACATCAAACACAGCCTGGGACGAATATCAAAGATCCCAGCTCCTCCATGGCCAGATGCCTACCACATCACAGAATCACAGAACGGTCGGGGTTGGCAGGGACCTCTGTGGGTCACCCAGCCCAACCCCCTGCCAAAGCAGGGTCACCCAGAGCAGGCTGCACAGCACCGCGTCCAGGCAGGTCTGGAATATCTCCAGAGAAGAAGACTCCACACCCTCCCTGGGCAGCCTGGGCCAGGGCTCCATCACCCTCAGAGGGAAGAAGTTCTTCCTCGTGTTCCTCACCCCTTCCTTACATCCTTACCCCAGTCCCCACTCAAGGTAACGTTGGGAGAAACCTATGGCCCGTGACGTTTCCAGAACCTCTCACAAACGTCGACAGTGCTTTTAAAAGGCAACACGCCAGCAGCACTGATGGCTGAAGCCCCCTTGGCTTCACAAGATCCAGAACAGGCAACAGGAGGTGAAGTTCCCCTCACGTAACCCCGCGAGGCTCATCCCACATGTCATGGAGCTGTGCACCTCTCCACAGAGCAGCACCTGTCTGCCCAGCTGGGCGACAACACCATATCAAACTGGGGACCAGCACCCTGAACACGTCGCCCAGTAGCTTAGACAGGGAAGTGCCACTTTCTTCTCTTGTCTCCGGAGCTGCGCCAAGCCTCGCCGCTTCTCTCGGCTGCCCTGAAAGGCGCATCCAGCCCCTCCAGCTCGGGCAGGAAGGTGGAGGGAGGGAAGACAGCGGCTAAGAGGCTTAGCATTCCTCTGCACAGAGGGAGATGTGAAGCCTGGCTGGGGTTACCATGACGACACATCTGCCTGATGACAAATCCCCAAAAGCCCTGCTCCAGCAGGCAGCAATCCTTTGTGTCCGGGGAGGGACCAGGGAGGAGCCGGGGGTGCCCCAGAAATTCTGAGCCTCTGGAGCCCTACGGAGCCCTGCTTTCCCGGCGGGCTTACTGCCAATCGTGTGCCACCCCTCTGCTGGCGCTGGGTCCTTTCCACAGCCACGTCCATACAGGTGGCATGGCACAGGTTCCAATAAACGTCTTTCCCTGCATAGGAGAAGAGAGACAAAGGTGCCAAGTAAAATATTTGGAAATCTGTTTCAACAAATGATGCACTGGCTATTCCCTAGCACACCGGTTCCAAGAGGTCTGTAAGCCATAGGAAGGCGAAACGATACAGATGTGGGATCAGGCCTGGGAGGCCCTTCTCTCTGCTCTGACACCTCTGCACTCTGCTTCGCTTTTGTAAGGTAGGATGAGTATGACAGTACTAATAGTATCTCACAGGTGACTCACGTGGCAATTCATTTATATCCGTAACGTGCTCTGAGATTCTTAAATGAAAGGCAATCACGAAATCTGGAGCAGGCTACCCATTAAGGCATAAAATCGCCAGCCAGATGCAAACAGATCTTCACGTGCGCTTTTAAGAAGTTTCATTGCTCACACGGTACGGGACAGAAGGCTAGCATTGGAGCTACCCCCCATCTGCGAAAGCAAAGTTTCTTCCCCTAGAAAACGGCCCCTCCAATCCCTCCAGGTATTTCTGGTTTATATTCTCCACCCATCTTCCACTCCAGAAACCCTTCCGAGGCACAGCCAAGCCCAGCAGCCAGCCAGCAAGGCCCCTGCCCCAGCCCAGCACGGCTCAGCCCAGCGAGGAGCAGACAGGGTCTCCAGGAGACCCCCAGCGCTGGCCACCAGAACTCACACATCACGTCAAGGCCAGAGCTGCTTCATGCTTGTCGCAGTCTATCGGAGAACATCCTCTGCAGTTCACCACCTGCATTTTGGAGGCCTTTAGTACTTCACTGGGGCAGCCACGCTGCTGCCAGCCCCCGTGACAGACGTCAACATTCCAACGCACATTTCTGGGCACAATGCAAAGAAGATCTAAACTTCAGCCTGATGTTCGACGCCCATCACTTTTTTATAATCCCAAATGATCATAAATATTCACTTCTAAGCAAATGTTAAGGGGAAAAAAAGTTTAAAATTGTGCTTTTTGTTGAAACACATTAAAAAAATATCAATATAATCTCATTGATGGATCTGCAAAGATTTACTGAACAGTCACTACAACCTCTTGATGCAAACCAGTGAAAGACAAAAGCTCTCTCAATGGGGTTACAATCCCAGGAGTGAGGAAGAAATCAGGGGAAGCCCCAGCACACTGGCTGTACCCTCTTTAGGTTACTTCTTTCGGACCTAATCCTCTTCTCAGCTGGCACGGTGTCCTCAGCATCGCAACAACACAGGGCTAAACCTGCATGCGACTCTGCCTTTTTAGCTGTGAACTTTTTACGTTCCCAAAGTGTCCGCAGAGATTTTAGCCGTTTCATACAAACCCTAAATATCACCTCCCCTGTCTCAGGTCCCTCTAAAAAGAAGCAAAAGAAAAGGGGGAAATGAGGGTGAGAGTTGGATACTGGTAAGAGCAGATACTGTGAGTCCAGGAAAACAGCACATGGACGAACAAAGAGAAACAGATGATAAAAAAAGGAGGAAGAAAGCAGAGTGCTTTCAATGCTCTTCTCAAATGCTCCTGCAAAGCACACGGGGAAGGTGTCGCAGAAACACCTTCTTCCCAGGAACTGCCCCTGTGGGCAGCACGTTCTTGAGAGGGTTTTCTGCAGCCTTCTCCCTGCCCAGCAGTGGCCCCGCCATGGCTCCAAACAGGAGAAAGCCTTTGTGGTGCCGGCGTTCCCACCTCCGCTACGCTGTCAGCATCAGGGAGTTAGAAACCGCTGGAGATTTTCATTTCAGGCAGGATCCTCTGCTGCAATGTCGAGAGGCGAGAGCTGGCTGACGGCCACCCCTCGCTAGATTCTCTCTTTTCCACCCTCACTGGTCAAAACCCAGAATGAAATGACTGCCCTTGATTTTCACGCTGCTTGCTAGTGGTGGCTGCTCGCTATGCCCTCGTGGAGATGACCAGCAAAAAGAGGCAAAAACTCCTCTACTTCGTCTTCGTTCCTCACACCTAAAGATGACCAGGAAGGATCACAAAAGCCAGATCCTTCGGCATCAGAAACGGCTTGTCTTTGCTGGCCAGTTCCATGGAGGTTTGGTAAATTCCAAGGATTATGATTTTAGAAGAGATTGAATGTGGAATAACTGAGAAGAGAAGGGATTCTCCGAGATTTTGTTTCGTTAATTACGTGCAGCTCAAATCTCTGGTAAACCTTCCAAAGGAAAAACGCTTTCCCTGTGCAACTTCCAACTGTCCCGCTCCAGCGGAGGACTGCAAGCTCCCGCTGCAGCCCT